TGCTCAGCTCCGTGAGGAGGGAGCCGGTGACTCGGAGACGGTGACTCAGAGGCAGAGCGGCGCGCGCGGGCCAAGGAACACTGGCGTCCATGGACCCTGGGGTAAGGGGGCTGTGCTGGCATCAGCTGACACTCCCTGGGAGGGCCACCTCCCACCTGAAGCTGGGCGTCTGCTCCTCTGGAGACAGGGCGAAAGGTGGAGAGGGAGCACCCACCTGGCTCACCTCGACCCCCCACCTTCTACTGATAGAGCCTCCCCTCCACCCACAAGCAGTGGGGGGCCAGGACCCCACGGGGCCAGGAGAAGGGCATAGAATACCCACACACCAGAAGAGTTTGGGAACTTTCAATGGCTGAATGCAGGAGTTTGGCCCCCAGCCCCCACTGTGAGCCTCTTGCAGCAGGGCCCCTCGTCCCCAATCTCACAGCCACACTTACCCTGCCATGTCCCTGTCCCCTCACGGCCCCAGCTCTTCAGGTGCTTGCCAGCTCCATAAGCAGCTCTGAGCTGCTTCCCCAGCCTCACCCCTCCAGTCCCTTCCCCTGTCTTACACACACAGAGCTCATGCATTATTGATTTCCTGGTGGAGCCAGGACGGCCAGGGCCTGTGCCAAGGGCGCCTGTGGGCACCGCTGCGGGACCCGTGCGGACCTCGGCATGTTCTTGGCCACCTTCTCTCCGCCCACAGTCTCTCCAGCAGTCTCTTCTGGGCGGTGGTACTTCTCAGAAGCCCCAAGGACAGGGATGGTAGAAAGGGGATGGTGAGGCTCAAGGGAGGGGGCATGTAGGGTCCAAGGTGAGAATCCTAGGGCATGCTTGGTGGGAAGAGGCCCAGGGAAAAATGGGGGCTGCCTCAGACCTGTCTCCCCTGCAGAAAACAGGAGCTCAAGAACTAGAGGATGTGATTAGTGAGTGGGGGTTGAGGAGTGCTCTGCAGGGTGCTTGTGGTGGAGGGTCCCTGTGCCATGGTGATGGGGGTGCAGGGAGAGGCAACTGGATCGGTGAGCTCTTGCTTGTCCACTCTCCGAATTCCTGTCTCCTCTTGGAGCCTCGTCCGTCCCTCCCCTGCCTCACCTCTGATACCTCAGGAGTGGTCCAGTGACAGCCCCGGGTGTTCCCTGGCCACAGTGTGTGCTCAAGGCGGGGCTGGCCGGCGGTACTTCTCATGGTTTTCTCTGGGCATCAGCGTAGTTGCTGAGCACCCGTTCACCTCACTTAGCTGTGGCCATAGTGGGAGGGTGACCGGCCAAGGGCAGATGGGGACAAGCCTGAGTGGAGGATGTGTTGGGAGCCTATATCTGGGGGGGTAGGAGGGACTGGAGGGGGGAAAGGGTGACAGTGGGTCTGTGCTAATGGGGTCTCTCTCTTGTTTCAAGGGCTCTCTCAGGACCAGGTGACCTCCTTCCCCCTTCCACCCTGCTCTCTGGCCTCAGCAGGTTTTTTCAGCAGGAAGTGGCCTACCCCTTCTCCATGGACTTCCAAGAGAGGGACCCTCCCTCCCTGGCTGAGAGCACTCAGTCCTCAAAGCCCAGCAGTGCCCAGCAGGTCTGAGGGAGGGAAGGCAGGCAGTGTGGGGGCCTAGTTTGGGCCAAGGGGCAGAGGTGACTGTCTCATGGGTGGCTCCCCTTCTTCTCTCCTGGACTGCAGGCCTCTGAGCTGTGGGAGGTAGTGGAGGAGCCGCGGGGCAGGCTGGGAACAGAGGTTATCATGCCTGAGAGGCAGGAAGGCCACCTGCTCAAGAAGAGGAAGTGGCCTCTGAAGGGCTGGCACAAGGTAGAATGGGCAGGGCAGAGGGAGGGACCGGATGCGGAGGCTGGGGGGGAGGGGTGGGGGAAGCTGCCAGCCGTCCAGGGTGTTTGTGTGTTAAGGAGGAGAGTCCATGTGAGGTTTCTCTCCCCCCCACCCCCCACTCTCCTCTGGCCTCCTGGGTCCTGTCCCTCCTGGACAACGTCATGGCAGAGGTACTTTGTGCTCGAGGATGGGATCCTGCACTATGCAACAACCCGGCAAGATGTGAGTTAGGGCCTTGGCTCGGGGTGGTGGGAGGAGCGGCCCCAGAGTGCCCAGGGCAGGTAGGGTATCTGGAATCACCCCAGGTCCTCCACCTGCTGAGTTTCTGACCTTGGCAAGTTACTCCCTGAGCCTCAGCTCCTCATCTCTAGACAGGCGAGTGCAGTCACCAAGTGTAGGGTCGTTGTCATGTAAAGAGCACACCTGAGGCTCTCTGAGTAGTGTTGGGTGCAAAGCAAACACCCAGGAAATAGCAGCATTATCACCCTTGTCCTTGTCCCGTTCTCACACCAGGGACAAGGAACTGAAGGCCTGGAGGCCCAGGTTCTCTCTGGGAGGATGTTTCCTTAACCTTGCAGATTCCTGAGGCTGGGATATTGGTATTTCCCCTTGCTTTGTCTCCCGAGTGCAGACTGTGATACAGAGGGGTGTTCTGTACACAGGGCATGATTGATAAGTGTGACTTGGGCACGAGGGTAACCCTGAGTGGCCCCAGGGAGATAGTAGCTCTGTGACCCTGGGAGTCTAAAATCAATCCCCTTGTCCTCCCACCAACTCTCCACTCCAGATCACCAAGGGGAAGCTCCATGGCTCCATTGATGTCCGGCTGTCAGTCATGTCCATCAACAAAAAGGCCCAGCGCATTGACCTTGACACTGAAGACAACATCTACCACCTCAAGGTGACATCCCTGGAAGTCAGGGAGTGTTTTGGCCCCCAGCCTGGCAGAAGCTCTGGGGCATATGGGGGCAGGAGCTAAGGATCTGTGAGTTGAGGGCCTGTTCTTAAGTTTCTAAGGAGGAAGTTCCCATTGAATAAAACATTCAAGGAAGAGACCAGCAGATGGCATAATGCTTACATCACTGGACTCCCACATTGCTGACTGTGGTTTGAGTCCCAGACCCAGCAACTTGAAACTCATGCCAGGTGTGTGTACATGCTGCCCAAAATCCCAAGAAGGGATCGCGGCATTGTCATCCCCCCTGGAGGGTGATTTCTTGCTTTCTATCTCTGTCTCTCTGGTGAGCGTACACATCCTATAGCAAAAAATCTCTCTCTAAAAGAAAAAAAAAAGGCAATAAACCCCTCCAAGGGAAAACCCACTTTCCCTGGTTGTTATGTGCTCAATTACAGAGCTAAGGGCTTAGATGGTTGGGGATGTTGTACTCTGCATTTCCACAAGAGGGCTTTGCACAAACTGGGTGCAAAGAGAGAGAGAGATCGTGATGCCCCTATTTCTTCTTCTTCTTCTTCTTCTTTTTTTTTTTTTTTGTTGTTGTTTTGGTTTTTGTAATTGCCAGAGGGCACATGCACTCGCCAGAGACAGACAGACAGGGAGAGAGGGAGAAAGCACCTCCCAAGGGGACATGGTCATGCTGCAATCCCTTCTCTATTTCTGTATCCTGTTGGAATTCTGGCCATGCACACACATGTGCCTGATCAAGCCATAGGGGCCAGGATTTGAACCATGGTCAGCCATGTGGGCTCCAGCTCCCTTCACCACTGGGCCATGGGACTGGCCCAAAGCCCTTACTACTTGCTCCTGGAAAGCAGCCCCTCCCTTAAGAGGTCCCTCTCCCCACCATCACTTCTGCAGATCAAATCCCAGGACCTGTTCCATAGCTGGGTGGCCCAACTGCGTGCCCACCGGCTGGCCCAGCGCCAGGACATGCCCCGTGGCCCTCTGCCCAGCTCCACTCACCGGAAGGTAGGTTGGTCTCTGGGGTTGGGGCAGGTGATATGGCAGTTCAGGGTGGTGTCTGTGGGAACTCCAAGGCCCCAGGGAGGCAGGCTCTGTCCTTACTGACTTTGGCTCACCCCATCCTCAGGTCCCTGGTGCCCAGCTTCCCACAGCGAGCAGCACCTCAGCCCTACCTGGGGTTGGACCTCGGGAGAAGGTGTCTTCCTGGCTGAGGGACAGTGATGGGCTAGACCGCTGCTCTCATGGTGAGGGGCCCCAGCACAGCACCTCTGCGGAGAGGACCCACACTGCCAGGTCTAGGTGGCATTGGCAGGAGGGGACAGTGTTACCTCTGGCCCTGCCCAAGGGAGCTCCAGCCTACAAAGGGTGGCGGAGGCAGGGCCACGACCATGACCAAAGTCCCAGAGCCAGTGTAGAAGAGGGTCCTGAGGAGTGGCACCAGTGAAGTGTGCTTTAGCACCAGGTTCTTGCAGCAGGGGGCATGGAGAGTGGGGCCAGTCTAGAAAGGGAAGTGTAAACCAGGGAGAGAAAGTAATAGCACCCCAGCCTGGGTGAGGGTGCCCCAGCCTGGGTGAAGGCAGCAGAGGGAGGCGTGATCTAGAGACAGAGTGGACACAGGGCTGCAGGCCCTCCGAGGAAACCAGGGAGGCCCTCCTGTGGAAGGGGTAGGGACTGGAACTGCTCTGGGCTCGTGAGCGGGAGTGCAGTGCCCCTCAGCTGCTTGCACGCTCCTGGGAGGAGGAAGCAAGCTGAGGGCACGCTCGGGTTCGCTGGCCAGCGCTGGGAGAATGACGTCCTTATTCGTCTTCAGAGCTCTCCGAGTGCCAGGGGAAGCTCCAGGAGCTACACAGACTCCTCCAGAACCTGGAGTCCCTGCATCGAATCCCCTCAGCCCCTGTGATCCCCACACACCAGGTAAGGGCCAGTAGAAGAGCCTGGATCCTGCCAGGACCTCTACCTCCATCAGCTCCCTGGAACAGGTCCCCATTCCCCTCGGTGTCACTATGGTTTCCTGGAAAACCATGCATCTGCCTAGCCGCCTCTCCCCCCGTTATTTGGACTGTGTCCAGGTTGTCTTTTTACCCCTTACTCCATGCTCACACCTCTGCCAGGGTGTTGGTCTCCTTCCTCGGGGGTCAGCTGTCCTCCTCTCCTTGCCCAGGCTGTGTGCCATCCGTGTCTGGGGTGGTCTGCACTGAAGCCTCTGTGTCTGGGCGGTCTCCATGGCTGGTTGCCTCTCCTGGGCTTTGGTGGTTGCTGTCCCCTCCCTACCCTGTGAGTGAAAACTCCCCCACCTTGACTTGCCAGGCCTCGGTGACAACTGAGAGACCCAAGAAGGGGAAACGGACCAGCCGCATGTGGTGCACACAGAGCTTTGCCAAGGACGACACCATCGGACGGGTGAGGTGGTGGGTGGACCCCAAGGGGCTGGACCTCTGGAGGAGGCCGTTTCCCTCAACCTCCCTTCACCTACAGGTTGGTCGTCTCCATGGCTCTGTTCCCAACCTGTCTCGCTACCTGGAGTCTCGGGACTCCTCAGGCCCCCGTGGGCTGCCGCCCCCAGACTATGCCCACCTGCAGCGCAGTTTCTGGGCCCTGGCTCAGAAGGGTGAGTGTGTCCTGGACAGGGGGTGGGGGGGACAGGGACAGGTGGGAGGGGTGAGGTTCTGACGTCTTCCCCCGCCCCATAGTGCACAGCTCCCTCAGCAGCGTCCTGACTGCCCTCACCACCGAGCGTGACCGACTGAGGGACCTGCACCAGGGTTCCGAGCTGTCGAGGATGGGGGTAAGGCTTGGGCGTCAGGGCACCCCCAAGGGGGCTGGGGTGGGTGGAGAGCATCTGAGGCTGAGGACTGCAGGCCTGGGTCTGAGAGCAGATCCAGGCTTGGGCTGGGGGCAGGCAGGGCTTATCCTCTGGCACCTCCCTGCAGGTCTCCGAGGCCCCTGCCGGCCAGAGGCGCCTCCACTCACTGTCCATCTCCTCAGACACCACGGCAGACTCCTTCAGTTCTCTCAACCCCGAGGAGGTGAGGAGCCGGGTGGGCTCCTTTCCCCAGGCTGGTGGGCCAAGTGGGTTTTAGGAGAAAGGGAGCACCTGGCTCTAACACCTCGATGGGTAGCAGCGTGCCTTGGTCGTTCTTCACTGCAGAGTTCTCCTGTTTATCCTGAGTCCTGAGAGGCCATGATTCTTACCCTCAAGGCAGCAGAACTGAGACTCAGAATCTAAGGGGCCCAGGCTCCCAGTTACGGACCAGCTTAGGGATTCTGCATGCAGGCTCTGGGCTGTACGCTGTGGCTTTGAACCCGCCTCTGCAGCATGCTGGCTTAGAGACTCTGAGCCTCAGGGTGCTAATCTGCACAGTAGATCACTAACCATACCTACCTCCTAGGGCAGGCGTCAGGATCAGATGGAGCAGGGCTCAGAGGCAGTGCATGGGAAGCACACGCAGTTACTGTGGAGCCCTGCCACCTGACCCCCAGCCGGGGCTCATTCCCCTCCGCATGGGTCTCCCCTCCTCCTCTCCTGCCCCAGCAAGTGTCAGACTCAGACAGAAACATCTTGGTCATACTTTTGCCTTGAGGGAGCTGTCGGGCTGGGAGAGGCCTGCCTCTCCGGCTCCTGGGGCCTGACTCTCCACCTGGCTCCCACAGCAGGAAGCTCTGTATATGAAGGGGCGAGAGCTGACCCCCCAGCTGTCCCAGAGCAGCGTCCTGTCCCTCGCCGATTCCCACACGGAGTTCTTCGATGCCTGCGAGGTTCTCCTCTCTGCCAGCTCCTCTGAGAATGAGGTGAGGGAGGAGGGATGCTGGCAATGAGAGGGAAGGGACCTGGGGGGCACGAGGAGGCCCAAGGAGACTAGAATCTATAGATCTCTGAGTCCTTCCTAACCATCCCAGCTACTGTCTTTGGGAACACATCCATATCTGTGAGGTTTGTGTGGCTCTGCTCAGAAACCTCGGCTGGGGGCTCTTCTCCTATGATGAATCTTATCCCCAAGGTTCTCTAAAATCGCTGCTTCCATCCCAACCCCAGTCATTTTCCCATGAGCCCATTTCCACTTCAGCACCACCTCGATGTCCTGGATCTCTGTGGTCCCCTCCTTCCTCCCCCCTGTGTCCTGAAAGCCCTTGAGTTCTCCTTCACCAGCCTAGCCCTCCCCGGCCTCCCAAGGCAATGCCTTGGGGCTCAGAGCCCTCCAATACATTCTCTTCCCCTCCCCACCAAAGGGCTAGCTGGGCGAATTCTTGCCAGGCCCTGGGCACTGCCCAGCTGCCCGGGGGAGGTCCAGTCTGCCCAGCCTGTCATCTGTCCTGGCCCAGGGCTCAGAGGAGGAGGAGTCGTGCACCAGTGAAATCACCACCAGCCTGTCCGAGGAGGTGCTGGACCTCAGGGGAGCTGAGCGCTGCCGGAAAGGTGCCAGCCAGGGTGCGGGCAGGGAGGGCCTGGAGTTGGGCGGAGAGACCGGGTTTGCCATGACCCAAGCCCCATGCAGAGGAGGTCTCTTGTGGTGCTTGGTGGGCTCATGGCTTTGGGTGCTGACACCAGGAGCTGAGGAAGGTGAAGCCATGAGCTGGGCTTGTTCTAGAAGCAGCCTCCGGGTCAGGCTGGGCAGGTTCACACAAGGCCTGAGGGAGAGGTGAGGGGTCCCACTTTGCCCCTGGTGAGCAGCGGCTTCAGACCTGTCATTTTACTTGGAGCTTTTTCTCATCTATAAAATGGGCTGCGAAGTTGGCATCCTGATCCGTTTCTGTGTCCTTGGGAACAGAAGCCAGGGTGGGGACCCAGGAAGGGCTTCTGGGCTGTAGGGTTTCTGGCAGTGGGAACTGTCCGGAGTGGCTCTCAGCCCTGCTGCTCGCCTGGAAGCTCGGAAGGTTAGACCCTGGCATCCCGCCCCACAGCGAGTCAGACTGAAGCTTGGGATGACAAACAGCCACCAGCGCCTCCGGAGATTGGGAAGCAGTGGCCATGGACTGGCCCGTGGCCCTGGGTGTCTCGGATGCCAGTGCCCAGAGAGTGACCTGGCTGGATGGGCCCCAGAGGGGTGTGTTCCAGGGAGAGCTGCAGGGCCGCCCCGTCGCCGCTGCCTGCCTGCGGCCAGCGGACCCGGCGCTGACGTGAGCCTCTGGAACATTCTGCGCAACAACATTGGCAAAGACCTGTCGAAGGTGTCGATGCCCGTGCAGCTCAACGAGCCGCTCAACACTCTGCAGCGCCTCTGCGAGGAGCTGGAGTACAGCAGCCTCTTGGACCAGGCCAGCCGCATGGCCGACCCCTGCGAGCGCATGGTACCCGCCTCCGCTGGTCTTGGGCCCCGCCCCATGCCCTTGGGCCCTGCCCAGGGCTGCCTCTTTCTCCCCCAGACCCGTCCTCCAGCAGTGGGGTGGCGACCCCTTCCCCTGGGCCCTCCTCCTCAGCCCCTGCCCGCAACGGCGTCCACCCTGCCCTTGCTCCCAGGTGTACATCGCCGCCTTTGCGGTCTCGGCCTACTCCTCCACTTTCCACCGAGCCGGCTGCAAGCCCTTCAACCCTGTCTTGGGGGAGACCTACGAGTGTGAGCGGCCTGACCGGGGCTTCCGCTTCATCAGTGAGCAGGTGTGGGCCCCAGGAGAGGAGGGCTGGCCTCAGGTGGCATGGGGACCAGAGTGGTCAGGGTGTGAGGAGGAGCATGGGGCAGGTGTGCTGGGCACTATGGCACAGCTGGGGGTAGAGGGCCCGCCCAGGAGCTCCTGGCTTAGTGTGGCAGGCAGACTTGGAGAGGGAACTTGCTGTCCCAGGGTCCAAAGTCTAGAGGTGAGATCCTGGAAGTCCCACTGGAAGGTGTGCTCTAGGGGGCGATCTTGAGCTAGTCTTGAAGGAACAGTTGGCGCCAGCTGAGGAAGGTGGGGGGCAAGCAACTGGATGGATGTTCCAAACCTAGCAAGGAATTGATGGAGCATGTGTGGGGAGCAGTAGAAATAGGCCTGGAAGACCAGGCAAGCCAGATCCCAAGGAGCCCTGTGGGTGAAGGTAAGGCGTGTGTTGGTTTTTCGCTTGTTTTGAAATCCCAAAGGCAATGGGAGGATTGGAAGCAGGAGCCTGACATGCTGAGTGGCACTTTGCAAAATGGCACAGGCACTGGTATGCAGTGGCTGGGAGGCCATGAGAAGGCCGTGTCAGTCATTTTTGCCAGAGGTGATGTGGGCCTACACCTAGCACATGGTGTGTTAAATTGAAGGCTGCTCATGTGTCACCCTCGGCTGTCCCAGGAGTCAGCAGGATGTTCTTATGTGCAGGGGTAGGGGACAGGTCAGCAAGTGGGAGAGTCTGGGTTGGCCTCAGCTTTCTGGTTCGGAGTTCGGCAAGCGCGGGGTGGTGCCAGTTGCATGATGGAGAGTGTCTGAGGGAGGAGGCTGAATTAGGAAGGCACGTGGTCTATGTGGCTTGACTTCCTCTGGCAGTGTCCAGTAAGCCTGGGGTCAGGGACCCGCAGGTCCTCAGAGAGCACTGGGCAGAACTAACAGATCAGGTACCACCGGCTTAGAGCATGCTGGAGAGGAGGGTGGGGGGGTCCATGGGCCTGGGGTGTCACTGGCCTTCTGCACAGGGAGATTTTAGAGGAAGGATTACAGTGGTGTAGAAAACAAAACAAAAAACAGTAGAGGAAAATACAGATTGTTGGGGCTGGCAGGTGGCGTGGTGGTTAAGGGCGCTGGTCTCCTACATGGACAACCCCAGTTTAAGTCCTAGACCTGGCAGCTTGCTTTATCACTTTCTCTCTCTCACTCTGTCCCGCTCTGGTCAAATTGAAATAAAAAAAAAAATAAAGTTAAATAAACGAATTCTTTTAAAAACAAATACAACTGTTTCTGAAAACTTGTACTATGAGGAATAAAGAAGAGACAGGGAAGCAGCTAGAGGGAAGATAACAGGTTGAGGTTATTGGTTTGTGTCTTTAGATTCTGGGTGTTTTTGAAAACATGGAGAAACAGCGCAATCATGTTTAAGTACACAGCCCACATGGTTGTGTCTGGGTTTGCTGGTGGGATGGAGTTCAGTGCACAGAGGCCAGTGCTGGGATTCCTGGTGAGTGGTGGCAGGGTTTAGGTGGGACAGGTGGAAGGGGTGGGAGGGAAGAAGGTGACACGTGGACAGGCTGACAGAACATGAGGGACCTGAAGTCCTGGCTGGAGTCGTGGGTGACAGGGAATGGGAGAGGGGCCGGGAAGACAGGCAGCGGGAGAATGGAGTTTAAGATTCCAGATGTGACCCTGTTCCAAGTGAGGACAAGGTCAAGTTTTTCCAAGGGTGTGGGGTGGAGGGTACAGAGTGACAGTCAGCTTCCGGGGGGAGGGGTGGTGAGCTGGGTTTTAGGCAGGACACAGGGTGGAGGCTCTGTCTGTTACTATCGAGGAGAATTTTCTAGGCTCAAGCACGGGTTTTGGAGAATGCAACAGACAGGGTTGGCCAGGGGTGCTCCAGAGGGCATGAGTGAGAAGGGAGGACATAGAGACCTCCTGGGAGAAGGGAGGGTGATGTATTTGGGTGGTGACCAAGGGTGACAAGGCCTAGAGACCAGGAACGAGCTGTCTTCTGGTATGGAGGGGAGCCGGGGGCGGGGTAGAGGACTTTGGGGTAGAGGACTGTAGGGGCCGTGAAGCCAGGAGCAGACCCCAGGGCCTGAGGATAGCTTCAAAAGAGCTTCTTTGCTTATCCAGGTCTCCCATCACCCTCCCATCTCAGCATGCCACGCAGAGTCTGAGAACTTCATCTTCTGGCAAGGTGAGAGGTAGAGGGGGGGTAGGGGGCGCCCTGGGGGTAAAGGGCAGATGAGGGAGGGGTTGGGACACTCAGGCCTTATATCTGCTGTTCCCTCTTCTATCCCAACCCAACTCCAGACATGAAGTGGAAGAACAAGTTCTGGGGCAAATCCCTGGAGATAGTGCCTGTTGGAACCGTCAATGTCAGCCTGCCCAGGTGACTGTTCTCAGACTCCCAGCAGCCAGGCCCAGCCCACAGACGTCCTCCAGGCTGGGGTGGGTGGAGGTCAGGGACCAGCTAGGAAGGCCTGGCTTGAAGCTGCCCGTGGTTGGGACATTTTCCGTACATTTGACACCTATATTCACAGCAGTGGCCGTTAAGGACAGGTGAGAAGTCTTAGAAAGGGAGAGCTGAGGGCTCAGTGAGGTCCTAGGCTCAGTGGCTTCCACACGGGTTGACTGTGACTCACAGTAAGAGATGCGTTTGAGACTGCAAGCCGGCACGTGCACACGAACATAGAAACCTAAATTGGTTTCAGGACAAAGGGGTCAAAAACTGCGTTTAAAAAACCCTTACCTAGGGGAACCAGCAGTTAAGCATAATGGCTATGTCACTGGACTCCCATGAAGTTGACCGTGATTGAGTCCCGGACCTGGCAGCTTAAACTCACGCCGGGCGTGTGTACGTGCGTGCCCAGGATCCGGAGAGGAGAATGGAGGAGAAAGGATTGCGGCGTGGCCATCCCCCCCCGGAGGGTGATTTCTCGCTTTCTGTCTCTGTGTCTCTCTGGCTTTCTGGCAAGCACACACACCCTATAGCAAAAACCTCTCCAAAAAAAACCCCCCCAAAAACAAAAAATAACAACAACAACAACAAAAACAAGTAGAGACTTGATGCCTCAGAGCTTGAGTCTGCCATCTATAAGTGAGTAATAAGCAATCCCCAGAGAAGTGGGGAAGAAAAAAGCAAGACATGTAAATGAACCTATCATGGCCCCCAGCACCCAACGGCAACGATGCTGTCTGTATTTTTGTTTGTTTGTGTTTTTAATTTGCTAGAAGGTGTGTGCACTTGGTGCACAGAGACAGAGAGGGGGAAGTGAGAACGCATCCCTCATAGGGAGTGGTCATCCCTTCTCCATTCTCTTCTCAGAGTTCTGGGCACGCATGCACATGCACTGGCATGCTTTTCTTTTACTTTTTTATTTTTAAATGATTTTATTTTTATTTTACTTATTATTATTTTTTTAATTACCAAAGAGAGAGAAAAAGTGAGAAAGCAAACCGTCAGGTCTAGGACCCGAACTGCAGTGAACCATGTGGGAATCCAGCAGCCCAACCACTTACACCACCTAATGATCTCTCTTTTTTTTTTTTTTTTTTTTTTTAAATTTTTTGTAGAGTGCATGTGTTTGCTGAAGAGACAGAGAGAGAGAGAGAAATTACCCCCGCGGGGATGACAACATTGCAATCCCTTCTCCTCCATTCTCCTCTTGGGATTTTGGGCATGTAAATACATGTACCTGTTGTGTTTTTCGAGCCACCAGGTCTGGGACTCTCACTGCACTAGCGGCCATGCGGGATGCAGCTGCCTTGACCACTACAGCACCAGATGGCCCCAGTGTCTGTCTTTTACCCCCTTTAGGCACTTGGGAACTTTATAAATGAAAAGAGAGTGTTCCTTTCATACACACATCCTGGAAAGGCTGCTCTGCTTTATAAATACCAGTCATCCTTCACTGCAGGGCCGGAGCCAGGGCCCCGGGGTTCCTTCCACAGACCTAGGTCCCCGTCTACTCAACTCACTTGTTCCCCTGGGCCGGCAGCTGCCCTCCATGCCCTGTCTCGCTCAGGTTTGGGGACCACTTTGAGTGGAACAAGGTGACGTCCTGCATTCACAACATCCTGAGTGGCCAGCGCTGGATTGAGCACTACGGGGAAGTCCTCATCCGGAACACACAGGACAGCTCCTGCCACTGCAAGATCACCTTCTGCAAGGTGGGCTGCCGTCCTACCCCGCCCCTCCGCCCTCAGCAGCCTCTGCTTCTGGAGGGCACCCTGGGTAACGGGAGGGGACACTAAGCCCCCGCCCGCCTGACGCCAGGCCAAGTACTGGAGTTCCAACGTCCACGAGGTGCAGGGCGCGGTGTTCAGCCGGAGTGGCCGGGTTCTCCATCGACTCTTTGGGAAGTGGCACGAGGGGCTGTACCGGGGGCCCCCGCCGGGTGGTCAGTGCATCTGGAAACCCAGTAAGTGGGGTGTTTGGGGCCGGCTGAGCGGGGCGGGGCCGTTAGGACACAGTCCATCTGCCCCAGCCCCTTGCCTTCCCAGACTCAATGCCCCCAGACCATGAGCGAAACTTCGGCTTCACTCAGTTTGCCTTGGAGCTGAATGAGCTGACAGCAGAGCTGAGGCGGTCGCTGCCTTCCACCGACACACGGCTCCGGCCAGACCAGAGGTCAGTGCCAGTGGCGCTTGCCTGTCTCTGGAGCTTTCGTATCATACAGAGCTGGGACTTTGTCCTTCCTCCCCTGAGTAGGGAAATGGGATTGTTTGGGGGACAGAAGCGTTGGATTTGGGCACGCCTGAGGGTGGCAGTCCCACTGACCATGATCTGGGCCTTCAGGTACCTGGAGGAGGGGAACATACAGGCCGCCGAGGCTCAGAAGAGAAGGATCGAGCAGCTCCAGCGAGACAGGCGCAAAGTGATGGAGGAAAACAACATCGTGCACCAGGCTCGCTTCTTCAGGTGCCTCGCCCGCCTCCTCCCGTCCTTCCCCTTTGGCCCTGTCCTGCTTTGAGTGGGAGGCTGCAGCCCCAGACCCCAGCCATCATCCTGGGGGTTCCCCTTCTCACTGCCACACCCTCGTCCCTCAGGCGGCAAACAGACAGCAGTGGGAAGGAGTGGTGGGTGACCAACAACACCTACTGGAGGCTGCGTGCCGAGCCGGGCTACGGCAACATGGACGGGGCTGTGCTCTGGTAGCCCTGGCCCTGGGGGCAGGAGGCCCTGGCTCCTCACTCCTCCTGCCTCCGCCCTCTACCACAGACATGTGGGTGAGGCCAGGCTCCCCCGACTGCCCTTGAGACCACAGGGGCAGCCTTGGCTCCAGCCCTCTCTCTCCTCTGCTGGCCAGAGGGGCTGCCTCCCTGCCCATTCCCACCCCATGGTTTGGGGTGAGACGCAGAATCAGTGCTTCCCCAGTCTTGTTGCCCTGACAACCGGCATGTAAGACCCTCCTTGCTCTGTCATCCCCCTTCCTGTCCCCTTTGGGGTGCCTGGGGAGACTCCTGGCACCCAGGATCTGTTCCCCATTTCAGTGCCTTCCTAAGACACAGGGGACCCCTTGATGTTCCCCAGGCTTTCTGTGCCCAGGCTCTGGCCTGGCTGTGAGGCTCGAGCAAGTGAAGGAGAGGAGATGGCCTTCTTCCCCTGCCCTCCCTGTGCCCTTTGCCCTGGCCCAGAGCTCCCTTGGCTGGTCCTGGCCATCCCTCCGACCCTCCTGAATCCCCATCACCCAATCTGCAAAACACCTGCAGCTTCCAGCTGATCCTTAAGTGGTTCCCTTCAGTCTCAGCTAAGCAGTTCCCCAGAGTAGATGAGAGGCCTCTCCACGAGGTGTGAGCAGACTGAGGCGCCTGGCCTCAGCCCCATGGGGAGTGTGAGTGGGCGTGAGAGTGTAAGTTTGTGGAGGAGAGTGTGCGTGTGTGCGTGTGCGCCTGTGTCCTGCTTGCAGGCGAGCAGGACTTCTTAATGTAGCCCGGACTCCCCGCTGCTGGGTGTCCGCCACCGTTGCTGCTCATTTTCTCACAGTCTGCCTCGGATTAAGGTGAATTGCTATGACATTCCAAGCTCTAATAAAGACTGTCCCAGACCTTGGCCTATGACCTTCCATTGAAAAACACGGGTACTGGGACCAGCAGTTGGCGTAATGGCTATGTCACTGGACTCCCATGTAGTCAATCGCAGTTCAAGTCCTGGACCCGGCGGCTTAAACTCACGCCAGGTGCACGTGCGTGCGTGCCCAAGATCCCGAGAGGAGAATGGAGGAGAAGGGGTTGAGGCGTGGCCATCCCTCCTTGGGGGTGATTTCTCACCTCTTTCTGTCTCTCTGTCCTTCTGGCAAGTGCATGCACCCTGTAGCAAAAACCTCTCCCCCCCCAAAAAAAAAAAGAAAAAGAAAAACATGGATGCTCAGCTCAGTGGAAGAGTCATACCCGCTCTCCTGGATTAATGGTGTTTCCCACAACAATACATTCCCAGTCCCCAGGACCCATGCATGTGACCTGATTTGGAAATGGGGTCTTTGCTGATATAATCAGGTATAAAATGTGGTCGTATTGGACTTAGGCAGGTTCTAATCCAATGACTGTGTCCCTATAAGGAGGGAATGTGGGCACACAGACATACACACAGGGAAGACGACCACGTGAGACACAGACACACAGGGAGTAGGCCACGTGGAGACGTGGGCAGAGACTGGAGTGAGTGAGCATTTACAAGCCAGGCAAGCTGAGGGTGGCTGGCATCCACCAGAGGCAGGGAGGAGACTCGGGAGAGGCTCGGAGAGCTGCTCCCTCCCCAGCGATGGAGGCAGCCCTGCTGACACCTGGACGCAGACCTCTTCCTCAGCTGTAAGCATGATTGCTGCTGTCAGCACCCGGGGGAGCAGCCGCAGGAAACTAGCACAGCCACCCACTCGCTGAAGCTCAAGCCCAGAAAGTCACCTTCTCTCTCCCGTGACCCTTACATCTGTCACTTCTCCCTCTGTTCCTGGCTTAGGCTGGGCCTGGAGTGACCCTTGCCTGGACCATTACGGCAGCCTCCAGGCACTTCCACTGTGGCGCTGGCTTTCAGAGTGGTCTTCGTTTATTTTTCTTCACTCATGATAGAGTGTACGTGCAGGAGGGAGAGAAAGGACCCTCCACGGGGTCTGGTCATGCCGTGATCCCCTTCCTCCAGCCCACCTGCTCTTGGCCACTTGCATGTATGTCCAGTGTACTTCTGGCTGACAGGCCAGGGATTTGAACTGTGGTTGTTACCCTGTGGGATCAGGCTTCTCTTGAGCAGCGCATTACCACTGAGCCATGGAACCAGCCCTGGGGGAACTCACCGGAGAGAGACACAGAGCGAGAAATCAATCTTCGTGGGGGATGGCCATGTCACAATTTCTTCTCCTCCATTCTCTTTCTGGGATTTTGGACATGCATGCACATGCGACCAGCATGTCTTCCAAGCTGCTTGGTCCAGGACTTGAACTGCTCATTTGGCTATGTGAGATCCAGCCTCCTTGAGCACCACACCACCTGGCTGGCCACCAGGGTGATATTTCAGAAGAGAAAATATGGCATTTCCTGCATGTTTAAAATACCTTCATTCCTTCCCCGCAATGAGAAAACCCCAAGCTTTTGGAGGGTTGCTGTTGCCCTAACAGAGTGCTGACCCCCCACCCAACATACTCAGGCAGATGTGTGCCCACCCTCCCCTCCAAGATCAGTGAGCGTTCCAGAGAGTGCACCAAGGATGGGCCAGCTGGCAGCCTGGTGTTTAAGGCTGACTGTGTGGTTAGAGTCCTAGACCCAGCAGCTTGGAAAACATGCCAGATGTGTGTGTACGTGTGCCCAAAATCTTCTGATGTTTTTTTTTTTTGAGAGAGATTTTTCATTATAGGGCGCGTGCGCTCGCCAGACAGACAGAGACAGAGAGACATAAAGCGAGAAATCACTCCCCAGGGGGGATGGTCACGCCGCAATCCCTTCTCCTCCATTCTCCTCTCGGGATCTTGGGCACGCACGTACACGCGCCCAGCGTGAGTTTTAAGCCACCAGGTCCGGGACACGAACCGCGGTCGACTACATGGGAGTCCAGCGACATAGCCATTACGCTAACTGCTGGTTCCCAATGTGCCCAAAATCTTGAAAAGGAAAAATGAGAAGGACTTGTGTGTGACCATCTCTCACAGGGGTTGCTCTCTCACTTTGTCTCTCTCTAGCATGGCGAGCACACACCCTCTAGCAATTTTTTTAGGTGGGGGTTGAGGGGAGGCAGCAGGTGGTGTGGTGGTTAAAGCACTGGGTATCAGGGTTGACTCTGTGTTTCGAGTCCCAGACCCAGTGGCTGAAAATCATGCCAGACCCTTATATGTGCTTGGCTAAAATTCTAAGAGGAGAATGGTGGTTAAGGGATTGCTGTGTGGCCATCCCCCTGAGGGGTGCTTTCTCACGTTCCCTCTCTTTCTATCTCTCTCATACAAGTACACACACCCTATGGCAAAAACAAAAACGAAAAAGAAGGGGAAGATGAACAGGGCAAGCTGCCGTCCCTCCATCACTCCCCTCACCAGTGGGCCTAAGTTCAAATCCCAAAGCTGTGTGATCTTGGGCAAGTGGCCTGGCTTTTCTGTTCCTGACTCCTTCATTCCTCATTTAGCTTCTATTGTGTCTTAAAGGAGGGTGTCCGTGAGACGGCCCCCACTGCTGCTCTCCCACCCCACCTCTCCAGCTGCCCCCACTTCAGTTCTGTTTCGATGGATGTCCCCAAAGGAACAGGCAAGAACGGTGGGGGCCCCTGGACTACATCAGTCCTTCCAATCTTTGTCCTTTTCTCCTCCACATTTCCATAGTTTATTTAAATAGTGTGAAAACGAGCACACTTGTTCTGACGCCATGTACCAGAAATAACCTCAATTCATTTTTTAAAAAAGTGAGGACCAGACAGGTGGTAGGGTGGTTAAGGCAACTGGCTCCCACCTGGCCAGCTGCACAGGCTGAGTCCCAGACCCGGCCACTTGAAAAACACATGGGGTGCACACGCGTGCATGCCCAAATTCCTGCAAGAAGAATGGAGAAGGGATCGCAGCATGACCATCCCCCATAGCGGGGGCGCTTTCTCACTCTTCTCTCCGGCGAGCACACGAGCCCTCTAGAAAATGAAAGAATAATAATAATAAAAGTGGAAATAAAAGTGGAAACATTCTGGACCTCCTTTTTATTTTTAAGTTTTTTTTTTTTTTCCATGAGTGAGAAAGACACAGAGAGAAATAGAGGCAGAGAGACGGCACGCCCAACAGGTTCTGGACACGCCACTCACTGTCAGTCTCAGTCGGTCCTGGATCGTGGGTACATGCCATGAAGCTGGAAGCTTCGTGAAGCTTCCTTTATAGGTCAGCCTCAAACGGCATCACTTTTTACCTCTGTGTGCCATCGGCCCCCATCCAAGACCCTTTAAAAAAGTATTTATTGAGACCAGCAAGACAGAGAGAAACAGAGAAAGCAAGTCACCAGGTTCAGGACTTGAACCATAGTTGGCCATGTCGGAGTCCTGTGCCCTAACCACCACTCCACCTGCCAACCCTGCATTCAGGACCTTTTATTTATTTATTTTTTTAAAGAATCATGTTACTTGAATTTATTTATTTAATTTTATTTTAATTTGACCAGAGAGGGACAGAGTGAGAGAGAGAGAGGGAAATGAGAAAGCAAGCCATCAGGTCCAGGATTCTTACCGTGGTCGGCCATATGGGAGTTCAGTGCCCTTAACCACCACGCCACCTGCAGGCCCCATTCAGGACCTTTTAAAGTGGATGTATCCCGCCCTCCTCTCCGACCTTTCCCTCAGAGCAGCACAGTACCTGACTAATCAGCTATGTTCAACTTCCACATATTTTAAGGACTGCAGTCTAAAATAGATCAAATTCCAAAGTTATTTTCCAGTGGATACAGGAGACTAGAAATTCATCTTTCCCCAGGAGCCAAGCCTGCTGTGGCTTGAACCATCAACTCCAGCATCCCCTCCCAGCACCACCCCCCTGCCCAGGCACCAGCTCACAGCAGAGACAGGGCCTGGACCCAGTGGGTGAGGGTGTTCTCTTCTGAAGGGCTATGGTCTTCTTAGAACCTCCCCCTCACCTGGCCAGGGGGGTGCAGTGCTGACTGAGGGGCTCAGGCCGGGCTGAGGGGGAGCCCAGGGCCAGCGTGCCACAAACAGAATGACAGGCCCGCGGCAGTTCAGTGGGCGGTGCCTGCCTACTGACCACCAGGAAAACCAGGATGGGGTGATCAGCTGGTGGCCTGAGGAAGGAACAGGGGACCCCATCCTCAAGCCCGTGCCAGTGTAGGCCAAGAGATCACCCAGCCCAGCACACATCCTCCTCTTCGCCTTGTCGGGGGACATGTGAGCCAGGACCAGGGGAGGAACGTGGGCTTACGGGCTCCAGACTGAGGATGTGTGTCAAGTCACTGCCCGGAGGACAGAGCTTGTCCTGCAGGAAAGACACTTGGGCTGCACCACAGAGAAAGAAGGCAAGAGGAGTCGCTGTCCTCACCTCACCCACGATGGACCCACCAAGCCCAACCGCTCACCCAGAGAAAGATGTTTCTGAAGACAGACACGGCCCTAAAGCTGGAGCGGGTGTTCAGGATAGAGCACCGTGCTCCCTGCTCTCCCACCCACTCCGTGGGCAGAAGGATGACAGCGGGGACAGCGGCTGGGGACCCACCTGCTGAGGATGCAGAGGTCTCCACGTCTGCCCCCAGCCCCGCGGGCTCCGCTGCGGTGGGCAGGACATGCAGCACTCCCATTCTAGGCAGTCCTATTCTCGTCCCAGCGCTCACGCGGCTCCTTCCAGAGACCGGATTACACTGCCTGGCCCCAACCAACCTCTTCAGGGAAGCTCAAGGGAGCCTCATTAGTTTAATGATGGCTTCTTACTGGAAAGGACCCATTTTATAAGTGAGTTCTCCTTTAGAGACTCTCTAGTTACGGCATGGGCAGAAAAAGAGGGAGGCTTAGTGGTCCTCCCCGGACCCATCTTTGTGCCCCTTAGGCTGGCCTGGGCCGGGTCTTGCTCACCCAATGACCT